TGATCCACTTAGTCTTCATCCCCAAAGTGCCTCCCAAATAAAGGCAGTGCGAGCGCTCTGGGAAGCTCTTGTTGAGATACTTAGCGGAACTTTGTTTTCCACATGGGCTATTGAGAAGCGTCTCGGTTTCCTCGGATGACTCCACATCCTCCCTGGTTCTTCTCACGCTGTGGACCGGAGTTAAGGGTGGTGAGATTCTCGTAGGCGCCCGGCAGCGGCGCTGACCATGGTGCTGGCCTCCGATCTCGGGACTAGAGCGCGAAAGACTCCCGAGAAGGTGCAGCCCGAGAGCGCGAAGAGCCATGCAGGGAGCCGCGGTCCAAGCCCCGACCCCTTCTGACCCTAGGGGACCTTGCGGGGCTTCACGCGAACCCCTCCTCTGCACGCTCGGAGCTGCATCAAAAAAGGGTGGGGCATCCAGCCACAGCTGCAACTGGAAGCCGCCCGGTAGGATTTAAGAAGAATGAAAGCGCGGCCCACCACTCTCCACGCGACCCTGAGCCCGGGATCGACCGATGCTTTAGCCTCCACCCTCCACTCCCCACCTCCCAGATCCAGGGAGCTGCGAGCAGCCTTTGTGGGCGTACTGCCGCCCACCGACGAGACTCTCCGCACCCTGGGCGTTGTAGGGTGGGGGTGTGTGTGCGGATGCATAGAGCCAGGATTAGAGGAGAGCAGGAAAGAGGGCACCCTCGGATTCTCGGGTCTCCACAGAGCTGGGAGGGGGAGGGCAACTCCCACGCGCCCCGTCCTTCGTCTCCAAGGCCTTCCCATACCAACCTGGTCGTAGATGTTCTGCAGGGCTTCCTTGCCCGAGGCCCGCCGGATTTCCACCTTCCGGCTGGATTCAACAGATGGCTCCCCGCCGGCACGCCGGCCCTGCCGGGAGTACGGCGGCTGCGGGTCCGGACCCAAGTGGGCGACATCCCGCTGTTGAGCCACCACTTGCCCCGAGCCCCGGCCCACCGACAGCGAGTCGAAATCGATGGTCTTGTTCTCCGAGGACCCTTCCACCGGGCAGAACATGCCACAGAATTTCTGCCGGGGCTTGGGGCTACCTGAGCCCAGGTTTTTAAAAAAGGCAGGGACCTCTTCGTCCTCTGCCGGCTTCCCGGATTGCTTCCTCTCCGCCATGGCGCGAGGGCTTGAGGAAGGGTCCTCTCAGTCCGTCCGTCCCTCTGCCAGTCCCTAAGTCTCCCTCTATCTGTGCAAAAATCCCCTGGCTGCTGCCGCCGCCGCCGCTTTCTGCCTACCGCAAGGTGTACAGAAAGGAAGGAGGGCTTTCCAGAGGGCTATCCGCCCCTCCCAGCCCCTCCCCCTGGCCCTGCTTTCTCTCCCTCCCTGCCCACGCCCCCTGCCGCCGCGCCCGCTCCAGCTATCCGCAAAGTTCGGTCGGGGAGGGCGGGTGCTGCGGCTGCGGGAGCCGAGAGGGAACCAGTTCCTGGCAGCCACGCAAGGCGGGTAGACTCAGGCGGGGCACAGGGCGGGGCGGGGCGCCAAGGAGCGGCGGGGAGGGCAGCACAGCCCAGAGCCCCACGCTCCGGAAGTGAAGCGGACAGACCACCGGCTAATGGATGCCGAGCGGAGGGCCTGCGGACCGCTCTAGGGCGCCAGGGTAAGTAAGGGCTGGGTACGCAGAAGTGGGGACCTGAGGACGCAGCCTCGGGGCCCCCTTATCTCCACCTGCCTGGCTTAGGCGCCTGTCCTCCACCGCATTGCGGAGATAGGCCAGGAGCTAAGGGGATCTTTCCCCTTACCTGGGGTGTAAGCTGATGGATGGGAAGAAGGAAACAAGTTGGCAGGCGTCTGGACAACTGGGTACGTGAGGAGTGTCACTGGGGATAGGGAAGGGATGGCACTGGCAGTGCCAAGAGCGGGGGGACATCTGAGGCGCGGAAAACCGAAATCTTAGTTAGCCTTGGTGGGCTGCCGGGAGTAGATTGAAGCGAGGACATTCTTGTGTGGTGCATCCCCAGGGGTGGGGGGCTCACAACATGGCGGGGAGGAATGCAGAGGGGCGTAGCAAATGAGGGAGTATATGCAGACATAGGAGACCTGGTGGCGCAGTGGTTAAAACACTTGGCTACTAACCAGAAGGATGGCGGTTCGAACTCACCAGCTGCAACGGTAGAAAAAAGATGTGGCAGTCTGCTTCCCTAAACATTACAGCTTTAGAAATCCTATGGGGCAATTTTACTCTATACTACATGGTCGCAATGAGTCAGTTGGAATCCATTCGACGCCAGTTGGTTGGTATGTTTTGTTTTTGAGAGAGAGAGATAGGTCTAAGGTCTATGGGAGTATAGCAAGGAGCGCACTCTACAAATTCCAACGCCGCCACTGGTAAAAACAGAGGGTGTAGACCCACTGTGTTACGTGAGGGCTCCAAGTACTAATTTTGCGCCACGCCGGGCCAAGAAGAGTGTCTTGAATTGGTATTTTCCACTGCCCGGTTGGAAAGGGGAAAGCAGGCAGAATAAAGCCCACTCCCGAAATTTGCAGCCCCTCCCTGCGCCCCAAGCACCCCCGCCCCCCGCGCCTTGTCTCCCCCGCCCCGTTAGCGCACTGCGCCATAGCCAGGCCAGGCACTGCGTGTCTGTGGCATTAGTGCGCGCGCGCGCGTGCGCGAGTCCGCTGGGGATTAGGGCGTGGGGTCCGCGCTGTGAGAGAGTGCAAAAAATGGTATGGGAACAGGAGGGGCGGAAAGTGCGTGGAGGTGTGGTGGGTATAAGTATGTGAGTTTTCCAACCATGACCACCGGATTGATGAGCAGCAAGGTGGCATTTTGATCTGTGTCAGTAACACGGTCATTTCTTACCTTCCTCCCCCCCCCCAACACACACACCCCCCGTGCTCCCTCTCCACAATCAATCCTTGCCTCTGATCAAGTGCAGCCCCGCCTCTCTTCCCACAGTTGCAAAATTCTGCGGAAATGATGCCCACCTTCTGGAGGCTCAGAAGGGATCTGCGCCTGCTTCAGTAACCAGGGTGGGTTTGGGCTAAGAGAGGCAGTTTCCCGTACGGCGGCTGCGCCAGGCACTCCAGTGGGCCAAGGATTCAGTCCGGTTGTCAACCCTTGCCCCTGAAAAGATTAAGTGCGAATTTTCACCATTGTGAGTCATGTTTGACAAATGAGGTTAAATTTGGAGAACCACCAATCACAGTTTGAAGATGCGCCCATCTTTGGGGGGAAGGAATTTCTTAATAAGAAAGGGAAAATGAAGAAGAATTTACATGTCGAGCGGGTGAGGGACTGAGTCTGGCATTATGGATTTAGCACTAGATTAGACTTCATTTGAATGAAGTGCCTTCACGTGAGTTAAATAATTTCCTACTGTTAGCAACACTGTTAGATGAATGGGACAAATTTACTGTATTTTCCAAATGAGGAAACAGATTTAAAGGTAGTCAGGAACCTTGTCCAGGGTGACATATCTAACTAGCTGATGAAGTATTGGGGCGGGGGCAGAAGCGGGTCTTCCACCTGAAAGTCTAATAATTCCTTTTCCAGTTTATCCTACTGGTTCTGTTTATGTGAGAAAATAGGTTTTTACATTTTTTCCGTATCCAAATATTTTCACCCATGGCCCTACTGGGTACCAAGCATGTTTCACTTACTGTCTTTATTTGAAAGTCACATGTAGGTAGGGTCCTTGGGGCTGCTGGGGATAGGGTCAAAGTAGCATTTTATTTTACTGGCCCTCTGACACTTATGGTGCCTTCAGCACCTCCCAGAAGGACTCAGGAGATGTGCCTGCAACAGGAGCAGCTGCTGTTCTAGATACAGGTTGGCATCGTGGCATAGGGACCTCACTCAGATTGATGGAGATTTTCATGCCAAGGGGAAAATGATTTTAACACCCTGGTCACTTTGAGTTGGAATCAACTTGATGGCAGTGGGTGGATCTCTATATTACATTATTTTTAGATATTCGAACAATTTCTAATTGGATACTTTTAATCAAAGAAGGGAAGCAATTCAACAGCTCTTTAGTAGATCTTCTAAATTGCAAAAGGTTGTCATGTTTTTAATACGTGCAGTAACAGTCTTCATCACTGGATATTACATCATAAAAACACATCATTATTGTTTCTATGTAACAGGGCATCTTGGCTTGGCTGGAGGTAAGACTCAGATACATAATCGTGTGGAGTTGGGTGACACCTTCCTGTGCTAGAAGCTGAATAAGCTCTCGATCCTCAGAACATTCTGGAACGTATAAACAGGTATCTAGCCACCTCTCTTGATTTCGTCCTTTATGTGGGAAAGATCTTGAATCCTGTCCACATTTGGGGTTTAGATAATGATTGACATGTCTGATGAGCATACAGTGGGGAAGCTGGAATGCAGAGGGTTCTCAAGAGAAAAAAAAAAAGTCACTATAAACAAAGAAGAGGTCTGACAGAGTAAGCTAGACACAGGTGTAATCTAAGAACCCCTGGTCTACCCCCACTTCCTTCCCAAACTAGAATATGTATGCTTCCTGGAAAGGAAAGAGCTGTATGGTAAAACTGAAAATTGTTTCACTAGGAGTCCAAGCCACTCTACTGTGAGACTTCTTTTCAGGAGTTCAGGGTGCCAGTGTGGAAAGTGTTTCACCGCTGAATAGAGACCAAGAGCCATTGGTGAAAGCAGCTGTTCCAGGTGTCACAGTGATCAAAGAAAGGTCCGCACCGCCACGTGGCTACCAGCATCACTGAGAGAAACAGCAAGAGGACTTCAGAGCCAAAGGCAGTGGCTCTATATAAGTGAGACCCAACCTAGCCATCTTGGGTCAGTTCTGGAGACATTACAGGAGGTGCTGAGTTTGCCTCTGGGCAAGTAAGGGTTACTGGTCCAGAATACTTTGAGAACACTATTAGGGTGACTTGACCTAGGACCCATTCCCTAGGCCATCTGGGATTTTTTTTTTTTTTTTTTTTAAATCTAAGGCAGTGCATATCTGCACCACAAACTAATTGGTACCCTTAAGAGTTAGAGCGAGTAGATATTTGAGACAATGGCACTGGCACTGTTTGAGGACTGGTGTGGGATAATGAGTGTGGATACTCAGAAATCCCTGATGGTTATGGGGATACCAGTGGACTGTGATGAGGCTGAGATTCAGGAGGTTCTTCAGGAGAATTTAAAGTCCCTGGGTAGGTATAGACTTCTTGGCAAAATATTCCGGAAGCAGGATAATGCCAATGCTGTTTTATTAGAGCTTATGGAAGATCTCGATACCTCAGTGATCCCTAGTGAGGTGCAGGGAAGGGGCGGTATCTGGAAAGTGGTCTTTAAGACCCCTAACCAGGACACTGAATTTCTTGAAAGACTGAATCTCTTTTTAGAAAAAGAGGGGCAGACGTTAGCAGGTATGTTCCGAGCCCTTGGGCATGAAGGAGTTTCGACAGGTGCCGTCCCCTCCATATCCCCAGACTTATTGGCCAATTTGGTGGGACAGGCAATAGCACATGCCCCTCAGCCTCTGCTACCCATGAGATACCGAAAACTGAGAATATTCTCAGGCAGTGCTGTTCCAGCCCCAGAGGAAGAACCCTTTGAAATCTGGTTGGAACAGGCCACCGAGATAGTCAAAGAGTGGCCGGTGGCAGAGGCAGAAAAGAAAAGGTGGTTGATGGAAAGTCTGCGTGGCCCTGCCCTGGACCTCTTGCATATAGTGCAGGCAGACAACCAGTCCATAAGCATGGAAGAATGCTTGGAGGCATTTAAACAAGTGTTTGGAAGCCTGGAGAGTCGCAGGACCTCACAGGTTAGATATCTGAAGACCTATCAGGAAGAAGGCGAGAAGGTCTCTGCCTATGTGTTACGATTAGAAACCTTGCTCCGGAAAGCTGTTGAGAAGCGTGCCATTCCTAGAAATATTGCAGATCAGGTCCGTTTGGAACAAGTCATGGCGGGGGCGAGCCTTAGTGAAATACTTTGGTGCAGGCTTAGGGAGCTGAAGGATCAGGGACCACCTCCCAGCTTCCTAGAGTTAATGAAGGTAATACGGGAAGAGGAGGAAGAAGAGGCTTCATATGAACATGAGAATCTTGAAGATCCAGATGAGGGAGAAAGCTATGGCCAGTGGGTTAACCCAGCCGATGCTTAAGCACCAACTTGGAGAAGGATCACAATAGTGGGCCTAGGGACACTCACTTTACTAGACTAAGTAAGACCTTTTCAATATATATATATATTTTTTTTTCTTTAGTGCATTGGATTGAAATCAAGAGCCTCAACCCAAATCTTAATTCTTCTTTCTAAGAAAAAAAATACCTGAGGGTTTCTTAGACCCTCCATAGATTATTAATAATAACAAAAGATAACATTCCAACTATTAGATCATAAGCTGAAAGGAATCTGAAATACCAGTACTTCAAGTTTCCTTAAAATACACCAAAATTTACCCATAAAGAGAAGAAATAATTGATGTTTGAAAAAATATTTTTTGTAAAATATTTGAAAATCTAAGCTGTTTGACTTATCAGATCTTTTCCTTTCTCCAATCAGCTAATTCCTTGTGAATACCTAGTATCGTGAGGCACTTTACAGGAAGGTATAAGAGTCATAAACCTACCAAACATGGGTCATGTCCTCAGAGAGTTTACAGTCTGGAGGAGATGGCCTAGATGTGTGAAAGTGAAATAACCATAAGTGTAAATAATTAGCTCACAGCGCCAATAAAAATATTGCCAAATGAATACTACCCTTAGCCTTTAGGTTTCTTTCTTCTCCTTTTACTTGGGAAGCACGCCTCTAACTTCCCTGTGAGGTGTCTGGACAGTTGGCCCCAGAGCTAGGCACTGTCCTAGGACCTGAAGACAAAGGTGACTCCACCTGATCCCTGCTTTAGAGGTCTGCCACCTGAGTGGTATCCTCAAAGAATGGGTAGACATTTGAGGAGACCAAGCAGGAGAGTGAAAATGTGCAGGACATATTAGTTAGGATTTAGTGAGCAAGTTAGAGAGGAAGGCTTTTAGTCGTGACAAAGGGCAAATAGGAGAGGAAAGAAACTCACATTTATTGAGGGCCTACTATGTGTCAGATGTTTTACGCATATCTCATTTGATGTGTACAACAACCTAATGTGATATCTTTTTGCTCTTTTGGAAAGAGAAACAAATTCAGGTGGTTAAGTGGTCTTTTCAATGTCAAAATGCTAAGAAGTAATAGAGGCTAAGACTGTCTGACTCGTGTTAATCCATTCTCCACTGATAGAGCTTTTCGGATTGTGTTTGGCAAAGATTTTTTTCCTTCCACCTGTTCCATCTTTAAAGTGTATTTGTTTAAGCCCATGATGAATAACAGGTAGACTCAAATGTGTTGGTAACTAAATTTTAGCACTTTGGCATTCCCCAACAGATTCACTTGTCTTTCCAAAATTGACTCATTCTTATGCAGACCTCAGAACAAAGCTTGTTTTGCAGTATCTGAGCACATATTTGAACTTCTTTTCCTTGTTCATTGAGTAAGGAAGCTGTCACACTGCATGAATGCTTAAATCAGGTCCGTGTGTCTTGTTGTGTAAAGTGTGCTAGTACATTTATATGAACATCATTGAATTAAATGCCAGGCACCACTTCAACACAGCTGATGTGTAGCATCACGATAACTTTGTGTGTACAAAAAACAAGTTACTTCTCTAAACATCACTTTTCCTCATCTGAAAAATGTATTGGGTTGTTGTTAGGATCAAATGACATAATGCCTTTTAAGCACTTAGCATGTTATCTGGACCATAGAAAGCCCTCAATAAGTTTAGACTCATTATTTCCATGATGCTTATTATCTGTCCAATGCATGCTTTGTTTATTGTTATAACAGTTGTGCAGTGAGAAGTAAATATGTAATCTGTCATTTGACTTGTGATAACATTGCATTAGAAACCATTTTAATTCTTATTGTATAAGTTTAAGTGCTTGTTGCCTTTTATATTTGTGATAAGTGTTCAAACAGTTGTTAGTGATTTGAGTTGGAAACAATAATTTACTTTCTGGTTGTGGATCATTTTAACTGAGTAGTATCCTGAGAGTGTAAGAAAAGCATTTTTTTAAAAGGTACTATTTGTGATTGTTTATCTTTCTAAGTTACACATTTTCTCAATATTTTTCAACCAAAGTGATACTAATTGTCTTCCATTATACTCTGATTTCATGTGCTTTTGTAACCATGAAAATGACCTCATTGTTCTCATTTACCTAACGTATGTAAAGTAAATGTTATAAATGTGAAGTTATAAAATAAATACATGCTAATAAAAATCTGCATTTTTTCTGTTTCATGTATTGTGGTTCTATGTAAACTATTGCTTGAAGAATGAGTTTCACTCAAAAAAAAGTCTTGAGAGGTAAGGTTATAATAACAAGCTGAAGTCAAAAGTTCTGGAACTCCTCTAGGAAAGAAAATTTGAGAGAAAAATGTTAGGATAAGAATAATTGGGCTTGCTCCCCAGGGATAAAAGAGCACTCAGTTCACCCGTCATTGATTTCCCTTTCAAAACACACACACAGAAACCACAGATGGAAGCTAGTTCCCTCAGAAACCTATAACTCATTTGCTTAGAAAAGTAAGCATTCAGATAAAGTCATCAGCCTCTCTTCAAAAACCGAAACCAAACCCACTGCCATCGAGTCCATTCCAACTCATAGTGACTTTATAGGACAGAATAAAACTGTCCCATAGGGTTTCCAAGGCTGTAAATCTCTACAGAAGCAGACTGCCTCATCTTTCTCTCACAGAACAGCTGATAGGTTCGAACCATCAAACTTCTGCCAAATGCCTTAATCACTGTACCACCAGAACTCCCTACCTCTGTTCAACCAAGGGTGAAATGACCTGAAGAGGGAAGTTTGTGTTCCTGGGCTGTATCCACCATTTACTGTATGGATGTGCAAATGAAAAAATTCTTTGTGCTGTTCATGCTCTTAAAATTTCTGAAATGCTATGGATGGTCATTCCTTATTGGGCCACATGGCATTGTCCATCAGTCCACTAAAAGATGAGGGTGCTGAGGGATTCTTATCCTTCCCCAATCACTTGGGCAAAAACTTCTTAGGTGATTGGTCTCACCATAAACTTAATTTGACTCCACTCCTGACCCACGGAGACTGAGGCCTCCATGAACCACTTCTGAGTATAACTTTCCACCAGGGTCTCCGAACCCAGAGTAATGGATACAATTACCGACTAGATCATCAGCTCCCTGCATCTTCATGCTTTCAGCATCACCTGACCTCTCTCCCCGTACCAGCCAGTCCCACCAAGCCTCATCCTGTTGTCTTCTGCTGTTCATTCCAAATGCAAGACTATGATCATCAGTTCTCTTCTTACATCTTGCTGTACTTCTTCCCAGATGCTGATATTTTGAGACTGTCCAATATACCCTTTGGAGATTTATAGATACAGATATTTTAACCAGTGAGTGAGGAGCATGATCATTGAGAAACACTCACCTGCAGGGTCTACTTAAGACTGAGACTGCATCAGGATTACTGAAACCCTTGCCACCACAAGTAGGCTAGCAAGCACTGAGTAATAAACAAGGAGCAGAAATGTGAAGAGAAATGTTTTCTGAGGTGCTGGTACTTAGTGAAGGCCAGATGTTGAGAGTGGAACAGAACACAGAAAATCTTTCCAGCAATGCAAGACTCAACCTAAGCGGAACACCAGAGGAATCTGAAATTTGTGGTGCATTGTAGGTAACAATAGCAACAACAACACTAAACCAAATTTCTGACAAAATTGATTGAATCCCACATGTTAATTGCCTAGGTAAAGAAGTGTGCCATTTCCAGGCATAAACACTATTGCCTTCCTTTCTGCTATATTACACATGATATCCAGTATCTGATAAAAACAGAAGAGCAAGAAAAAACAACCCATTATTCTAGAGGTATGAATCAACAGAATAGACACAGAGATGAGCCACAGGTTGGAATTGTCTGACAGAGAATTTACATGAGTATTAATATATTAAAGAATCTAGTAGGAAAGATATAATAGCTTATATTATCAGAGTCTTTACAGAAAACCCTGCCACCATATTCCCTTAATTGAAATCTGGTTCTTCTCCTGGTATTCTGCTGTCTTGGAAGCCCCTTGAGTAGAAGCCACTCAATCTCGCCAACCTAAGGAGAAATTGTAAAGTAGGGTTGCAATTCTTTTTGCTCACCATCATCATTTCTTCACTTGGAAGTACATTGGCTTCTTCCTGGCACACCTTCATACACACTGTCCCACCTTCATCCCCACCACTCACTGTGGAGTCTTGAGAAAACTAGACCGGTTAATAGTAAAGGAAGCCAGCAGTGCAGCAAGGGGCCCAGTTAGGACTTGGTCAGGTTAAGTGTTACCTAAAGCAACAGAGTAGGAAGAAAAAGATAATATAAGCCCTGTTCAAGGGAGTCCTTCAACTCAAAACTGGGACAGCAAAAAGGGTTAGAAGCTAAAGTTTTTAAGGAGGATTCTAAAATGAAACATAAATGAAAGACTTTAAGACAAATAAGGTCAAAAACATTCAAGATTTGTTATATGTTGGCCACTAGCATAAGCTTTAGGAGCTCTGGTGGCATAGTACCCTAAGGCATTTGACTGCTAACCAGAAGGTTGGCAGTTCAAACCCACCAGTCACTCCTCGGAAGGAAGATGGGGCAATCTGCTTCCGTAGAGATACTGCCTCAGAAACCCAAGGAATGGTCGCTATGAGTCAGATCCAACTCGATGGCAGTGAGTTTGGTTTTTTTTGGTTAGCATATGCTTTGGGTGGTTTAAAGGGATAGCATCAAGCCAGGCATCCTTCATCCTCTTCCTGTCAGGGTGGACTAGAAATTCCTTGAGTTTTCCCAGGGAAAATGTGTACACATTGAGAAGCTCTATTGGAGTGAATGATGATTCCCAAAGATGGGCATTTCAGAAGATAGCCTTCCCAGTGTGCCAGGTCAGAAGTTGTCCCTGGTCCACACCTACATTACACAACTCCCCTGCTGTGTCCAAGTGCTCCTGACATCCCAGATGGGCATTTTCTTAAAAACTAGAGTAACTCCAGAAATGTACACCAAAATCAATTTTCTCATAAGAAACAAGGTATAGTATTTCACTCTTGCTTTCAGG